CATATGACACGAAAATTTTTTCTCTTGTTTCTTGTAGTTGGAAATCTATAGAAAACGTTTGGAAGCCTTAAAAGTGCTGTAAGAATCTAAAAAGCATTCTTTTTGCTTTCAAAATACGCTCAATTTGCCTTCAAATTTGTCCCGGTCATCGCGCGGCCAAAATCGCACGTGATATCGTAACGTGACGTCAATGGAACTTTCAGAAGAGTCGGACTCAAAGGAATCACTCGAATCAATGGATATTTTTGCCTTTCAATGCACTATCCATCTAATACGAAGTACTGCAGAATTCTCTTAGCGACAAGAGACCTTCCCGGCAAAGGTACAAAATGTGACGTCACGAATAACTTAGACAGCGAAAAACTAGGTCCCAGTCTCTGGGACAAATTTGAAGGCAAATTGCGCGTATTTTGAAAGCAAAAAAACTGCTTTTTACATTTTCCAGCACTTTTAAAGCTTCGAAACGTTTTCTATAGACTTCCAACTACAAGAAACAAAAGAAAAAAATTTCGTGTCGTATGCACTTTAAACAACCTCTAGCTCTTTTTAGTGCAATAAAAATTGAGCTATATCAGTAGCCACATGCAGTCTTTGGCTGTCTAATTCTCCCGGAAAGTTGAAACTCACCAATGCACTTTGTCTTATCAGATTTGCTGATACTGTACCCCTGGCGGCAATAGCATAGTCTCGCTGCACCTCTTCTAAAGTAACATCCCTGCGCACACCCTCCATTGTTTGTGGAGCATTCGTTTACAGCTGTCGAAATTAAAGGACCAAAACGTCTTGTTACAAGATCTAACTCAATTAGTTCAACTCCAATCTCAATCAAAGTCTCAATTTCTTCAAAATAATGTACACTTTTGTGGTAAAATGTAAAGTGTTTCTGAGTACACACAGAACAGAGAAGTTAATGTAGGTTCGTTTCGTTTTAGGTAGGTTTTTTACATACATGTTTATTCAAATTTATACAACATTTGAAAAGGGAAGTTTAAAGGTTAACCCTATAATAAAACTTCCCTGAAGAAAAAAAATATATATATATATGCAGTTAGTTATATATATATAACTATATACAGAATAAAAATTTAAATCATATTATAAAAAAAGTTTAGTAATTCATAGTTTTAAAAACGATTTAAGTCTTAATTTAAAAAGTTCAAGGTTTCCCGCTTCAACAATGTTCTTGGCTTAACTGCTCCAATCTCTAATCACTCTAACAAAAAATAAATGTTTATAACAGTTGATTCTGGTTGATTTTGAAAAAAGTTTATATGAGTGGTTGGCTCTAGTGGAATTGACTTTTGCGAATTCAAAATATTCCTAAAAATCAAGTTGGGACAAACCAAACACAATCTTGTAGCATTCCACTAGTGAGAAATATGTTCTACGAGTGGACAACAATGGCCAATTTAATTGGTTACATCGGTCCACGTAGGGCATATCGCCTCTTTTCTGCCTCAGAGCTAATCTTGACGCACGTCTTTGCACCTTCTCAATTGCGTGGATATCTTTGACCAGGTAAGGATTCCAGACTGGTACAGCGTACTCTAAAAGAGGTCTAACCAATGATTTGTAAAGCAGTGAAAAGGTTCTTGTATTAGCTGTGCCAACAGACCGTTGTATAAGCCCTAGGACCTGATTGGCCTTGTTCACCAAGGTGCTGATATGTTCACTACAGGATAGATCTTTTGATATTATAACTCCAAGATCTTTAAAACTTTTAACATCCTTTAAGTTCGTACCTCAATGTGTGCAGTCCGTAATCGATTTTTCACGGGAATGCGTTATACGTATTGCTTCACACTTTTCCTCGTTGAAACGTAGTTGCCAAGTTTTCGCCCAGTGACCGAGGCTATCAAGATCAGCTACTTTAAATGAACAATAAAAAAGTCTTTGTTGGGTATCCTACTTATCATGGTTGCTATTTGAATGACGTCGTTAGTCTTTTTTTTTTTCTTTCGATAAAATAAAAAAATGAGGGAGGGGGGAGTAGATTATGATGGAATGATAGAGTGAGGGGGAATTCTTACATAGGGATGAGTCTATAAGTCGAGGGGTTTATTTGCAAGGGGGGTTAATTACACTGTTTTTTTCTTAATTAATTTACGTGCCTCTGGGGACGGAGCTATGTCAGGGAGGGCTTTGCACCTTGTTTCAAGCGCTCATTTAGTAAGATAGAAAAAATGAAATAAGAGAACAAGAGGAGACTGTATTTTACATTCGACGGTTTTAATCATGCGACTTTGACGGCTTACGATTCAGCCAAGGTGCCAGGTACTCGTCTCATGCCCAGACCTTTCACAGTTACAGTTACACGGTAGGATCTGGGCACGAGGTTAGTTAAATACTTAGAATATTTAAGTAATTTTTGATTCATGTGCAAAGCCACTTTCGGTTGAGAACTAACTGATGTATGGCATTGATAAGATGGCCTGATGATCAGGGTAATAATGTTCCCAAACAGAAGTCACATCTGTCTATGAGAACTTCAACCCTAAGCAAGGTAAATTTCCTCTTTTTCAACAGAAAATAATAGCCTCTATTTGTTTTGAAAATATACAGATATTTGTTCGCGGACATAATCTGTCCGTTAACGGATGTTGACTTATCTGGGTGTCCTATGAACAAACAAATTTTTATATCTCCCTCATAACAAAAACAAACCTCTCCCAACTTGAACCAACTTTCCTCTCATTAGAAGCAAGATTTGAAAATTGGCAAGGGACCACGAGAGGCTGATTTTGCACCACGCGATATAAGTGGCCAATAAAACCCGACAAAATATAATGTGTGGGTAATAACACGAGATATTCGCTTGGGGATATGAACTATCACGTGATGATTTCAGAACTATTGCGTGGAAAAATATCCTTGATGGATTATGGACCTGAACAACCTTATCATCGTTGCTGGTATCTGATATCAGTATTTGACGCTCACTGTGTCTTGATGTGAGAAAACTATGGAGTTTAAGAACTTATTTTGCCTGATTGGCCGGTAAATGATTATCTTAGCTGCTTAATCAAACGGAGGTTGCCTCATAAAATTCTGACAGTTTTCAAGCTTAAAAGAGCCGCTAGACAAAACTTACTCGAAAGTTCTTGTCGTGTGGTGATGAGGGAAATCGAAACGTGGGTTGTTTTATCAGACATCACATTTCTTTGTCTAGAGCTCAGGTGCCTCCTGATGACTACAACTTTTTAGACATCACTCATATTTGTCTTCTGGGGGTTTTGCGGAAATTTTAAGAGTTTTTGAATATTTAAGCACCCCTTTTCGGTTTGTTGCTCTTGAGTTTAACACGAACGCAATTGGGAAGTGCTGAGAATTAAATATGAGATTTCAAGTTTGAAAATAGCCCGTGAATTTCATAATAATTATTGTGAATGAGTACAAACAGCAAGCCACTTTTGACAACAGAGTCGTAAATTATTGAAGATGCGGTTCATATGATGTACGTGTTTTATTCCTGACGGTTCTTTTTTTAAGTTTATCGCCGGTGATAAGGGTTCATATCGGATAAAAAAGAATTACCATGGCGGTGAATTATGCCATATGCGACCACAGTAATTCATTTTTATTACTTTCTCCAAATGAATTTTGAAACGTTGACAGCACTGTACATTACTCGACCTTAATAAGTGCTTCGATTTTGCTTTGTGAATGAATGCACATGGAATGGTCGCATCACAATGAAAGCATGTACCATTCAAACGACCGATTTCATTTACAAAAGAGTATGGGTCCTCATCAAGGCAAATAAAGCTTAATTCAATTCACATTCATTTGTCGTAATGTTTGTTCAAGATCTTTTTTTTTTGGACCTCACCGACGTAGAATCAACCTGCTACAGAAAATATGAGCAAACAGTATCAGTTTTGAAGACTAATAAGTTAGTTCCGGTAAGATATTTTTGGCGCATATTTACCTCTGTTCGTGTGGTGGTGCCCAGTCTGCGAGGAGCTAACCCGGTTACCCCCGCTGCACAGAACTTCGATCAAAACACAGACATTCGCGGGCAGTCGAAAAGAAGCATGAATTTCTGCCTTGTTGGGTATTGATATGGCAGATCCTTTTTCAGTCGATTCAAGTGAAGTCCAGCCCTCAGTTACGAATGGGGAAAGCCCAGCTGAAGGAGAGAAAGAGTCCGTTACAGAAGACGCGTCCGTAAGCATACCGCGAAAATCAAGCGTTCTCAAAAAAGATGGGAGACCCTCGAAGCGATCCCTCCAAAAGTCTGTGTCGTTTATCGCTCGTCCGGAGGATAAACGAATCATAAACGGTGAGATGCCAAATATATTTTGCAGGCATTTGTCAAGTTAGTTACGTGAAAGACGTAAATGATTAATTTGTCGATTTTTACTGTAGCCGGGGATTGTTTGACCTTCATGCAGAATGGTTCAGAGTTGATGAAAATTCGCTCAAATTCAAGACAATACCAGAGATTCTTCTTTCTAGAGGAAGACTTAACGGGTTTACGCTGGCGGCCGTCTTCCAAGAAGCCTGAAAAAGCGAGGAGTAAGTATTCCGGTGTGCCCCTAATTTATATATTAATGTCCTATGTGACAATTTGTGTTTTTGTGTATTTCCATTCCATTTCAGTCTACTAGCTGTCATGTGTTTTGTAACTCTTAATGAATCTGCATTTATGTTTGCGGGTAGTCCAGAAGGCAAATTATTCTCTGTAAACAATAGTTGGCGATAGGGTATTTTTGAGGTATTTACAAAACATTTCCCGTCACCGATTATACAGCTAGACATAGAAATTTCTTTAACTTTCACCTTGAAGTTGGATTTCTTGCTCGAGTTTCCTTGTATGGATTATCGCACAAGCGACTCTGTAAAGATATCTAATGAAAGGGTTCCGCGATTCGTATCCGGTAAATCCAAACGGATGTGTTGAATATGAAACTTTTTCCCTCTAACGACGCCACTTTAACATTTAAGCAATGAGTCTCGAGTTGGTAAATGCTTCTGTTGCTAGATTCAATCACAAGGCACTAGTTAAACTTCTTCCGTCACCTTGATGAAGTCTGTGCAATACAATAACAGCTTGGATGTAACTATCGTACCGAACGAAGTGCCATTAAAAAAACAAATTCGTAGTAGTTTTTATTCTTGACGATGAAGCAAGTTACGTTTTAAAGGACATAATCGAATCCTTTTCCACAGAAGTATGACCAGGGTAAACATTTATAAGGATATGGTATTTCTGTTGTCAATTTTTTGTATACTTAAAACTTTTCCTCAGTGCCTGCAGGCACAGACTAAATTTCCTGTATATCGATAAATATTATCGTCAAATCGAGAGCCCAAGCTCTCGAAAGTCAAAAGATTATTTCATCCGGATCCAAAACGATTTACGAGAAAAATGTTGCGAGTTAATAATATTGGAAACGAGAGTTAATATTTAAACCGCATCCAAGGTTTAAATCGAAGACATGATCGATTCGATGAATCACAAGTGTTTTTATGCAAATGATTTTCTTCTGTTACCGTACATTTACGGGTGTTTTTTTAAATAAAACGTAGAATTAGCTGCTTATCGTATTTGTTTGCGAGGATGGACGAATCTATGGCGAAAGAAAGTCAAGATAATTCCAAAAAAACCGTGATCAGGACCTTACATAATTTATAATATCTATTTTATGAGCCTGTGTACACACCAGGTGACAAATAAGCTGGTAAAAAGTTAATTCTACAACTGTAATATGTAATTTTTATGTGCCAAGTTTGAAGGTCACAGGAAATTCCAGAAAGTCATAGGCTTTGAAAAAAATGAAACTCAAGAAGCTTTTATCAACAATTCTCTTTCTCTCTCGAGCGTTTTGACATCCATGCAAAACATAAATATTAGACAAAATATTGAATGGTTATCTTGAGGTGTATTGTTGTGCCTCTGAGATGACTTGCTGTACAACCAATTTCAAAAATATGAATTTGAACATCAGGACATTGACCCCCAGCTGTCAAATGAAATGGAGTCCTCGACTGCAAGCTTGTCAGAATTTGCCACAAAATGGCAGCAGCAAGGAGCTGCAGTAACAAGTCCATTGTTAATTGCTGTGCTTACTCTTACAAGGCACATAATGTAATGCATTTTCTAACAGCTACCATACATTTAATGGATAAAAATTGAGTTCACTATCAGCCACAGAAGAAATTCTAAACAATATAAGGAAAACATTTTAATGACTAATTTCATTGCATTAATTAGTCCAATTTTAAGAGGTTCATGTTTCAGTTAGAATTTGTGTTTTTCCCTTTCTTTTTTGTGTCTTTTCAAATACCTTGGGTTTTGTTACACAAAGAGAAATTTCTAGTTACAGATTATTCTGTAAATTTTGAAATACATTAAAAGTCATTTAATAGTGAATTCTTAAAAAGTAAGTGACCTGAAAAATGATACCAAATTTTGCAGAACTGCAGTCAAACAGGACATTGTATGGGGGAGGGGAGGGGACAGGGGCATGGATTTATTTATCATGGTGTAAAAAGAAGATGTGAGGGTCAAATACTCTAGTGGCCTGAGTGGTTTTGTTTTAATATGTGTGACACAGCAATTTGTTGTCAAAATCTTTGTCTTTTTGACAGACTGTCTTCCTCTTGATATGTTGTAAAAATTAAAACCAGCTCAAACCTTCGAGATACTCTGAGAAATGAAATGAGTGGCAGTATTTTGAAGCAGTTTTAAGATATCTTTTGCATCAACTGGTATCTTGGTGGGTCCTGGTGAGCTTGCCAAATAAATAACCAATTGGATTCAAGCATTCTCTAGGGACAAAATTATAAAATGTTATTGATAACCAGAAACAAAATGTCATAATTCTCAATTTTAATATTATCTTCATGGTGTCCATGAAAAGTTACAGGAGTTGTGGTAGAAAGGTTACCAGAAAATATACATGCTCATTAGATAGAAGATCTTTTTATTACAAAATGCAGTTTTTTTCACATCATACAATACAATACTTTATTTCAGAACAACATGCAAATACATAGTTATTAAGAAAAAGGAAACCCAGAGGTTGGCCCTATATCAAGGGTCTCCTATTTATGTAAAAAATCTTACAGAACTAGTTAATAAAAATATAAAAAAGTCAAATAAGAAACAGCTAAATATCAATTATAAAATGGCGATTCAATAAATATTCATATGTTTCTTCAATTTTGATTTAAACTCACAAACGTTAGGGCTGTCACAAAAATTAAATACATTAATAGGAAGATTATTCCAGGGTTTGATAATTCTGACAAAGAAAGAATTTTTGTAGCAGTTCAGTTTTGCGAGTTTGAGTTGTAGTTTATATGGGTGGTTAGATCTCGACTTNGTAATAATGGTCGAAGAGGCCATTGTGCGGAGGCAAATTGCCCAAGGAGGCCAAGAATATCGCCAAGAAAGGTGTAGTCACGAGAGCACAACCTTCCTCCATAATTTATTCACGCGTCTGCATCATGCTTCCCTTACACATCTCAGTGATTTAAGAAGCTTGGTAAATGCAGCCTTAAATCATTCATGGCTGGTGTAAGGATGGAATGGTGTCTTTTTTTACAATACAGGTATTATTCTCGTTACAATATCAGGGGTGATATTGTAACGAGAAATTAAATGCCAGTCAATCATGGGTTTTTTTTTAAAGAGTTAGACCTAGTTAGTGGACACAATACTGGAAATATGGTTTTCAAGGGCAGACCTGTGTAACGTAAGAACTGTTTGTAGTAAAATTGTCATTAAAATGTTCTAGAACTGTCTTTCCATTATTTCATCTGTGTGTGTAATAATACCTAAGTCTGTAAGAGATCCGTCTACTTTGCATTTGTTTAATGTTTGTCTGTCTTTTTGTGCCCAGGAGTGTTTATGCAATAATGAGTTTGCCTCATTATTTGAAATTGTGGCATTAACTGGGATTACTATCAATGTGGAAGCTCTGTGTTTTTCAATTAATAACAGCTGTCAAATGCATGATATAACCTGCTGAGTTAGGTTCATTGATAAATTATTCATTACATGCAAAAAAACCTTCAGCCAATTTAGTTCCACTCTATTTCATTAGGGTTGACAGAACATAAATTCTCGACCCTATTAAATAATAGGAAACTGGCGAAATTGTAGGAAATATTGAATTCTGTATGGGTCAAAAAAAGGACACTTGTCTTTTGTTTAAATTTTGTGTCTAACAAAACAATTACCGGCATGGGAAAAGTTTAAAAAAATTATAACACCATTAGGAATTCAAATAGTTTATTAAAGAGAAAATCATGCTAAGAACATGAAGCCATACACCTAGCAGATATTTAGGTGTAATTGTTGCACATTAGCAAAAAGATCTTTGAATTCTGTATTAGGCAGCATTGCCATAATTTGAATGTTATTGTTCATGGCTATAAAGAATCAAAGATAACTCTGGCAGGTGATTCCATATTTTATGTCCTTCTGTTGTCAGAGAAATGTCACATGATGAAAAGTGTATGCAACTTGAAGCTTAAAATTTGCCTCACAGCTTGACTATTAGTAAATTTAAAGTTTTCGATAAGAAACAAATAAAAAAAAACCTTTTAAATGTGGTGTGGGGTGCACTACCCTAAACTAATCTGAGACAAACCCCCAGGGTGACCCATTTGCTTGCACCTCCTTTTCTGTTTGCTAAAATTGAATGTATGAAGTCCTCACAATGAATTTTGTTTCAACAGAATCTGGATAGATCTTCAAATTTACAGCTTTCTCATTGAAGGTGTTTTCTTCAATGATTGCTTCATATTTCTCTCTTTTTCCTAACATAGAGTCGCAGTGATAGTCAATACATTCTTCTTTTCAGTTTTATTGTACATGTTATGATCTGAATTGTTTGTTTACAACATTATACATCCTATTTTGTGGCCAGCCAGTGACAAATTTTATATGGTATTCAAATTTCTAAATCAAACTGTTAATTTCAAAAATTAAACTTTTGAAGGCAAGGTTATCTGTCCCTGTGCATAATTTTTCTGAATGTTTCAGACTCTAACTGAACCTGATAACTCATAGTCTCCTCTCACAGCCGTTCTTTGTCTCGGGATCCCTGTGTCTCCCTCCCCACAAACAGCTGCTCCTGTTGACCAAACATTCCATTCCCTTTGTTTCCTTCAACCAATGAGCGTTGAGCAGTTGTTTAGGACCCGCAAATCAGGAAGCGAAAAGTTGCACGCAAGTTTACCAGGGAACATCTCTCAAAACTTCTCCAAATTTCATGTTTGTAGAGCTAAATATGTCATTATTTTTCAATTTTTATGGGTGATACCCCAAAGAAAGTAACTTGCTGCAATTTATCTGGATGTTTCCTGTGTACGTCAACAGTTTCAACTAAAGAAATAGTTAGAATCTACTGAAGATCGGCTGATGTAGCGAGCTTCATAAGTTTAGCACTGGGTATAAACTTGGAAGCATTCAACATTTATTTGATTTCTATTTGATATATATGTCTCAAATGCTACAGAAAAGTTACCAAGATTAAGAAATTAGAAAACGATCTCCAAGAGCTAAAAAATGAACTGAAAGCTGATTGCATTCAAGATCACTGGTGAAAAGACTTCAACCATCACTTGACAGTGACTCGAACGCAAAGCGACCTTTTTGTAGCGAAAGCTCTCGATTTCACTGGCCCTAGCACATGTACTTCTCTGCCTCCAAGTCCTAGAGTTGAACCGCTAGTATCTCTACCTTGTACGCCTTGATCTTCTAGTGCATCAGCTATACTGCTACCTACTCTACCCATCAGTCCAATAAACACTGAGAAATCGCCACATGTTCACACAACAAAGCTCGCAGCTCCAGTATTGTCTACTTCTACTCCAAAGCCAGGGCCGACCGAACCTAAAGTCAGCTTGTGCATGGAATACCCAAGCAAAACTATCAATAAGAAACTTGGTCTAGACGTGGAAGCTATTGCCAAGGCTTTGGCTCAAGGACCCCCCTCAAGATTTGTTAAATGCAGCTTTAAAGTCGAAGTCGATGCACAAGCATATTTTTCACCCAAGGGTCTTACGTATTGTCTCTGGAGAAATAACTGGGCTTTGCACATTAAAAAAACCGTCATTGCTCTGAAGAAGCTCAAACTAAGGAAGATCTTGAAAATTTCGATCTATAGAGAATTTGTGACAAATGGAGGGAGAGAGCACCAGTATTCTACTTGTTCATGTTGACAAGTTGCACAACAAAAATTTGAAAAGCATTAATTGGCAAGATGAATATATTATGAGCCTTCCAGATTTCAGAAGGTGGCACTCTGATTGGTCAATCAGCTGGAATGGAATTTTGGTCAACATGCAAAGCTGTTTGTGGGGAGGGTAGTTACTAAAACAAGGAATTACCTGGAAAAAGCTGGAATGAGCGGGAATGAGCGGGAATGAGCTGGAATGATCCAGAATGAGCTGGAATGACCAAGAATGACCAAGAATGACCCAAGAATGATCCATGAATGATCCATAAAAATGATTTTCTATTGAATTTGTCTCCACATACTTGATTTTAACTTGCTAAACAAACTCTTTACACTGACTGTGAGGTGTTGGTGTTGTTGGCGTAAACTTGAAAACAAATGCAGAATAGTTCATGTCAAAGCCAACTGAAGTACATTTTCAGCAAAAAATTCGGAAATTCCAGTTCATTTCTTAATAAAATCCACGAATACTCACGCCATTCCACGTCACGATTTTCCACTAGGATTCAACTCGGCCGCCATTGTAAAATATTGTATCGGGCTTCCTGTGGCTACTATCCCATCAGCCTTTTCCAACTGAGTGAGAAAATGGCAGCAGGACATAAAGACTTTGTTCAGCAAGTTAAAATCAAGTTTATGGATCATTCTTGGGTCATTCTTGGTCATTCTTGGTCATTCCAGCTCGTTCTAGATGACTCCATTGTTAAAAACAGCAAGGCTCATGGAATAGGTTTCAATTGAGACCTTCTACTACATTTAATGGATCAAATGAATTAAGCCAAACCTGACACTCTTAATAGTACCTTTCTCCAACCCATTTATTGACTCTGCTATAAGAATTCTATCCACCACAAACTCTACGTTCATCCTTAATATTTCAAATCTCATATTTCAATATTCGTAACATAAACTTTGCAACATACGGGTGATGTTCCTTTTCCTTCTCTACTCTTACATTATGGAATACTCTCCCAAATTCCCTTATAAATTCTGTCTTGGTTTTCTTTTTTTAAAGTTACCTTAAACCCATCTTTATTTTGGAAGTTTTTTCTTTAAACCATGAGAATTGTTTTATATGTTTTTACTAATTTCATGTTTTAGTTATTTTGTAGTGACAATTTATTTTATAGGTGACATGTGAGTGCACTGAGATTTGAAATGCACACATAAAAACATTCTTGTTATTATATTACAAAAGATTCAATGTCCTTGTTTCTTTCCTTTTGAATTTTCCAAGTGGACTTGGCAAAAATTTCTTTCAACAGTTTTTGGTGAACATGTTTTTAAGGGCTCTTTGTGTACAGCTATGGCACAGTGCTCTGAGCCTCAGTTGTACAACCATTTTGGTTCCAAAAACATGTAGAAAAAATTTCTGGAGATTTACTTTAAAGTAAAAGTCAGCATTTTGGCAAACTGTCTTTTTTGTGGTGTTTTGGGTGGAAAGTTGAAGTTAGAGAAACGTTTTCTGTACAGTAAACTACAGTGTTAAATAATGCTCTGTCAATTTATTTTGTATGTTTGATAACAGGCCTTTGTCTGATAATTATTGTGCATAAAAAGTGTTTAATTTTTTTTTTTCAGTCTCTATTGACACTGTTAAAGAAATCCGCTGTGGAAAAAATACGGATGTATTCCGTGAAATGGACAGGGATGATTTCCAAGAGGACTGTGCATTCTCAATTATTTACAGTGACAATTTTGAGACGCTGAATCTTGTTGCGTACTCTCCAGATGAGGCTAACATTTGGGTTACTGGTCTAAGGTGTCTTCTGGACTCTGACAAAGGTAATAAAGTGTTTTATCAGGGTATTTTCCAAGGGCTACAATCTACATAATAGCAGGCAGTGAGGGGGGGGGGGTTGTGCACTCCTTATGTCCTCCTGGTTGGAGAGGAGGTACTCCTTTTATCCTCATGGGAAAAGAGAGATTCTAAGAGAGAAGCATGACTTGCCCGAGAACACAAAACTGATTGGGAACCAAGACCTCTGGAGCCAAGTGTACTATTAGGCAACTTACACTGCTTGCAGCACCCGTGGGCAAGATGAAGCAAATCCTGTGTTCTGATTGGCCACCTGAGCAGGCAAGATGGGCCCATCTTCTCTGCTCAGGATTGCCCACATTGATCCCATGCATAAAATAAATTGAATTAGAACTACATTTGTAATTCTTGGACAATTTCGGTGATGGGATTGCAAAAGGTGGCAGAAGATAGTCAAAACAAAGAAAACAGAAATCACTCTCATGAGTTTGTTGTGCTACGAACACAGTTGACTTTCTTTCCAGGTTCTCAAAGCAAACAAGTCATTCCTAATTCTTATTAAAGCAAAATCTTTTTGCAATGTAATAAATCCTTTATTAACCAAGCTTGTTAAGTCAAGATGGCTGGATATTAGCCTCATTCTTTTTTCACATTTTGATGGATTTCAACTTCATCTCAGTTCATAAAAGTGCAAAAAATGAACTCAGCCAATATCCAGTCATATTGACCTTACACTTGGTTAATAATGTAAATTTCATTTCCCTTTGTGGTCAGCTCTTTCACCTGGACTCCAGATTGAATGATCCAGCTTTTAAAGCCCAGGTTACAACTATTTCAGATTAAGAGAGCTCTTTACTGTTTGACTTTGAAAAATAGTGGGTGCTTCAGAAACAAGTATGTGTTTATTATGTGACTTGTCAGTGCCCTTGGAGAACTTTGCTCTATTGCTGTAGAAACCAGGTTTAGTTGGTTTCAGTACAAACTTGCAGCAATGACACAAAAAATAATATTACTGGTGATATCATTAATTAGATTTTGTTCTTGTTTTATTAAACAGCCAGCAGCCCTGTGGAAAACAGACAACAAATGCGTGACAGATATCCTTTTCTAGACCAGTTTTGGCATTTCATATTATTAAAGGAAAAGATTCATTGGATCGTACTTTTTGTGCTCCTCATTCTGTTTGACCTTGGCAAGTTCAAGGTTGGGGAACCAAGTTCTTTTTCACCACATAAACTTGTATTTTTATTGAAAAAAATTTAGTGCCTTTAATAAAATCAGGGCACAAAGATGCTCTTCTGCCTTGAAAGGTATTTTCTCTCCTAGGAATGTTTTTTTGAGACTCTGGCAGTTGCATATTATTTTATTTTGAGGTACAATTGAATTTATGTTCATCTTGCCTTTTTTTGTTCCACATAGTCAACCAACTTGAGCAAATTTGAAAATCATTAAATTTATGCTGTGGGAACAATGACATTTGAGTGAAAGGCTACAAACCAGTGGCCACTCAGCTGCTATAGACACCCCTGAAAATTTTAGATAGCTGCGACATATTCTGACATGGAAGTGTTGAAATTCTCACATTAAGAGGGAGGAGAAATAAGAGTTTTATTTTGAAACTTGCTTTGTAAAATTTCCTTAATATTTTACCACATGGCTAAAGGAGCAGTTTGTTATGGCAGACAGTGGGGGAAAAGGAAGGCTTAATGAGAAAGAGGTTCTTTCTGTGGTCAGACAGTTGAATGAACAAATTCCTGAAAGTGTAATAAAACAAAGATTTAAGGTTGGTGATTAATATGCAATCATAACTTCTGTTATTTTTTTTTTTCACTGTGGTTCAAGCCCCAAGTATGTAACTACTGCTGTAAGTGAAACCTTTTGACTCCCATGAGTGACCAAAACAGAACTTCTCCTTACATTATCAATACAATATCAAGCAGACAAGTGTTGAGATTAGAGAAAATTATAAATTAGGGAATTATAAGCTGATCCATTACCAATTTCCTTGAAACAAGATAACAAGAATTGTATGGTAAGACTGTAAGGAGAATTACTAAAGAGATCTTGGGAGTGAATTGTTGTGCCAAGTACTTAAATCAGCACTGGAGAGCAGGGGTTTCAAAAAAATTTTTCTGCAAACAGCTGGTGGTGTGAGAGTGGGCTCTGCCATCAGACAAAAACGCAAATGCAAGATTCTGCTTGCTGGCTAAACAGATGGCAAAGAAGGGTCCTATAGGCAGGATTAGACCACCAGTAACTGGCTTTTATTGAAACCCCTGGGGAAAGGGGTATTGGTCCTCCCACCCCACCCCTCTGAAATACTTTCAGTTTTAAAGCTCATCAAGTACAAAATGCGCAAACTTGCTTAGGATGTACATTATGTAAATTTGCCATCACTTTGGCATAATGCCATAGTATCAGACTGAGTATAATTCTTGAACAAGTCACAGGATGAAGCTGTATAATTCATGACTGTAAATCTTTCTTACCCCTTTGGATATTAGCTTTATTCAGGATTTAATGTGACTCCTCTTTAGGGCAAGTAGATATATTTCCCAAAACTGCATATTTAGTAAAAGAAAACTACTTGCAATATTCACTGGAGACTTGTAAAACTTAAAGCTTGGCCTTTGCACAATTATCACAGTGTTTTGAGGATGAAGGAGGATTTAACTTGATTTTGAGTTTTACTGATACTTGTTGACAATGACCTGGCCTCACATCAGAGCAGTGCCTAATGTCGCAGATTATTATTTTATAGAACATGCACCATACCAATGATATGTCATATTTAAATTTCACTTCTTGTTATAGTGGACTCGTTTTATATTTTTGATATACACATGGTTTGTTTCCCACTCTAACACTTCTTTATTTCTCACAGGAAGCTGTTGCTACTAGTTCAAATTCTCAAAAGAATAGTTTATCAAGGGAGGAGTTCCTTTCATTTTACAAGGAACTTACTACAAGACCTGAGGTTTATTTTCTTATGGCAAGGTTGGTTTGCTTCCATGCATGTTAATCGTACTGTTTCGACATTTAACATGCACATCATATTTGTAAAATCTTCAACACAGTGTTTTGCCAATTGGGGTAAACTTTGTGTTGCTCAACTTTGAGTAGACACATTTAGCATAAGTCAAAGCTGGCTGACTAGAACACTCTATTGTTAGGAGATTCCAGCATGGCCCCTGAATGACTGCACCTTGAGGTGTTATCATGTGCACCTATGTTCACATCTTTGTTAAGCATTAGGGCTGCTTTAAAGTCTTCAGTAGCTCTCCCGATGTATGTTTATGTACATCTTTGGGTCTGGTTATCTTCCTAAATGTGTTTCCTTCTTTTTCCTCATGTCAATTTTTAGCAAGGGTTACAAGACTTGATATCAACTGAATCATTTTTGATATTTACTTTTTTATTCTTTTTAATTATTTTGTACCTTTCACTGAAACATTTAAAGCCATCCTTTGCAACAACTGTTGATAATGGTATTGATTAATTAACTATTAGTTAGTGTTATTAATTGTTTACATATTGCTAATTGGGTATTTTTGTCAGGTATACAAGCAATGGTGACTATCTAACAACAGATGATCTACTGCTCTTCCTGGAAGCTGAACAAGGGGTAATAAACGTTTAATTCTGATTAAACCTGAACATGTGTGCTCAGCGTGATTTATGGACTGGTAGTTTCATCAACTGTATACACTGCAGTACATATTTAACAATTATTCCACGAGCGCGCGTTGGATATGAGATGATAGATAGCCAACGAGGCGCGTAGCGCCGAGTTGGCTATAATCATCTCTTATTACACGACTCGGGCAGTCAGAGGGCCAATAACTAAAATCAACCAATCAAAATGCTCTATTGCCGGTCCAATATTCTCTAAGTATTGGACCGGGCACTGTCCCGAATGGTCCCGAATGATACCGCACCTGTGT